TGCTGCCTGCTTGGAAGCTAAGGCTGGTCCTGTCTTCTTGGTGAGAAGAGTGGAATCAGAAGCATGAGGAGGAGGAGGTGGGCTGGAAAAATGATTCAAGGGGAGGCATGCATATCTAGCCACTCACCAAGGTGGGGTCACAGAGGTGAAAAACAGAGCAGACACCCTTATGGATGGCTGCTTTTATGTCTGCTATAGAGTACCTCAAAGCTGACCAGACCATACTGACCTTGTTGTCAACTTCAGCTTTGAACTTCATATGCCCCACATCTATAACCCATCCAAGATCTATGTCCTAGCATGACACCCAAACCCTAACATACACTGTTCAGCTTCAGGGGTTTCTGAGGCTATGTCTTGCTCACATTTGTGTCACCAAAGTCCATTGGAAGGATAGTCCTCTTTTAGGGGACTCAAAACTGTCACAGAATACTGGGAGGGCTGAGTTTGGAATGGAAAGTATAGGATACAGGTGCTCATCATTCATTTATTCAACCATCCTTTCAACAGTTAACAACTGTCAAAGCCGTCTGAGAACTTGAGATATTACTGACATGGACTTGGGAGAGACTCTGGAGAGGGGATGAATAATAGAGACAGGGAGTTTGGGTGTAGAGAAGCTAGGTTCCTTCTGACTTAGCTTAGCATTAGCTGAGACCCCAACAAACAAGTCACATCACCTCAAGTTGCTGCATCAGTATAATAGGAACAAACATGTTTGCCTAGCTGAGATGTGACAATGTAAGGAAACTTTACACACCAGGACCACTCTTGACACTATATCAGTGTGTCTAATAGATTAACTCTTGAGAGCAAATGCAAAGACTTCATTTGTTCAGTGTTGAGGCAGGATATAAGTCTCTGTGTGTGAAGGCCTGATTTAGGGTAGCATTCCTTGAGAGAAAGAGCAAAGATACTTCCAGTTGTCTGTGTTCAGCACTAACAAAGCAGGCCAGTGAAAGCAGCCTCCTGCAAGGCAGGGGGCTTAGTCCTGAAGGATGCTGCATAGCATGTTAGGACTCACAGGGTTCTCAGCAGTTCAACTCATGGAGCCCTACCCAGAAGCCCTAGAAAGCTCAGCTCCAGTCCTCACAAGATGATGGGTCTCCAGATAAGAAGACAGGCCTTAGTTTAAACTTACCACATGCTTCTGTGGAGAGGGGAGCAATTCAGACCCACTCCAGGCAGGGTGCACAAGTGCCTGTACCTAAACCACACTGAGATTAGGGAGAGCAAGTGGAGTGTGGAACATACTCAGGTAAATTTAATGGCAATATAGTATGTGGGCTTGTGTATATAAAGTAGTCAAATAGCCTCCATTCAGTCTTCCTGTGGCTGCTCTTTATTTTTGTCCCAACCATGAGGAGCAGCCTCTTGTAGGTAACAACCAAAACACACCATTTTCTGCTGGATTGACAAAGATGGATTCATAATTGGTCTTCAACAGAGATTTATTGACTGAATCACATTTTATTAAGCTCAACTTCTATTATATTCTATAATGTTTCTGCAATGTTCACCCACCTGGCCCAGTCCTGAACACAAGCATGACCTTTCTCAGAGTAGTATTTGAAGACAGCATGCTTTCATCATCATTATCATAGTTGCTATAATGTCTGAATTTTCCCTTGAGGATTCTGACTTGGGCAGTGCTCTGTGGTGTGTGTGTGTGTGTGTATGTGTGTAGTGTGTATATACAGGTGTATTGTTTCTGTGCCAAGAGTCTTTTGTAGATCTCAAAAAGTAAAATAAATAAAATAAAATAAAATAAAATAAAATAAAATAAATAGTCTCTTCCCACTACCTAGTTCTTTGACTGAAGTTCTCTTCTTGGGGGAAACTCCTGATTCTGTTTTGTTGAAGAATTCTGCTAATCACTGTGTTGCTGAGTCCGTGAGTGACAGATGGCAGTGACAGAGAAACAAAAGGTTGGAAGAATTGTGCATGGTGATGCATGGCTGTAATCCCAGCATTCAGGCAATCAGTTTGCAAATTCCAGGGAAGTCTGGGCTACTCAGAAAGATCTTGTTTCAAAAAAGAAAGGAAGAAAGATCCAAGACAAAAGATTATGATCACTACAAACATACTTGATGTTTAACCAACACGTGAAATCAGAGCTCATGCCTTGAAGTCCAGGGTTCACCTTTCAAACATTTCTACACTTTCACAAACTTGCTGAAGCAACATCAATGTCTTCATTGGGAACATCCTTTCTATCGAGGGGTTACTCCCCACTCAGTGACCAAGCCATATCCAGGGATATTATGACTCATGCTATTAGTATGTTCTTTGGGTTTTATAACCCACAAATTATTATGACTTAATTGACAATGGTAGGAATTCTGAATTACCCAATGTGTGGGCATTTTCAATCAGGGTTTCCCTCTGAAGTTTGGAACTTGTTTCTATATCTGAAATACCTCAGCTCCACTAAGGTGCCCACTCAGATGAGGAGCTAGGTGTCCAGCAGGGACACCATTGAGTTCTCATGGGCTCTTATGCTGTAGGTTCACATTTACCTTAATAATTTGGCATTTTCTGTAAGCTTCACAATTTCAAAGACAACGGAGATATGGAATTGGGGAAACTGGGACATAAGTACCATGATGGGGTCCTTAGCAGTATCTTCTCACCTTGCCAGTGACACCCTGGTCTCTCCATTTGTGGCTTTAGAGAGAAGGTCAAGTTCACTCAGTCTGCTTTGTTTGGTTACTTGTTTTACCTCCAGCAGAGTCTTCCCTCAAAGAAAGCACTCTTTGTGATGTCTCCAAAGCTGGCCACACCAACACCTGTCAACTGCATTTTGATAGGTCTCCCCTCCAAATACCCACCCAGACACATGAACTGTCTTGGAAAGAGGAAATTTTGTTTGGTTTTTGACATTATTACTTTCCAAATGTCCTACATGACTCTGTGTGTGTGTGTGTGTGTGTGTGTGTGAGAGAGAGAGAGAGAGAGAGAGAGAGAGAGAGAGAGAGAGAGAGAGAGACTTTTGTGGCAATCTGATATAGCCCAGGTTTGTTTTAGACTCACTATATAGCTAAGGATGGACTTGAAATTTGATTTTCTGTCTCTGCCTCCTAAATGCTGGAATTACATTCATTGCAACCACATCCTTCTGAAACATTTTTAATTATGTTTTTCTCACAGAGAGCTCATCTGTTTTATATATGATTACTTATTAGTGCCTATATATCTTTGAATGGCCAAACCATCTTTAAACACCTAAAACTGACTTTTAGGCAAACAAAGCATTGAAAAAGCTTTTCCTTTCTCAATTTTAATAGAAAACCCAGCATCTGAAGCAAAAAATAAATACAGCTTCCAAAGACTGGCCGCTGTCACACAGCCATGATGTCACACAGCCATGATGTGTATTGCATACAATTGTATGGAAACTCTGCTGATTGTCAAGTTGCACTGCATTTCTTCTTGTCACAGCTAGTTAAAATTTTTTCTTTCCATTTTTCTTGAAAACATAGTGTAAAGTGGGGTTCTGGTGATGGTGATGGATTGGTTGGTTGGGGTTCTCGTACTGAATAACACAGACTCCTTTTTTAGCATCTTATTCTATTAAATAGGTCCAAAGACCCACAGCTCTTTTATTAATATTCTAAATAATTTATTTTCCCTGAATTTTAAACATTGCATTACATTTGGAGAGGGAATGTGGGTTGATTCTATGCTTGGTTAAGCAACACCATGACCACCCAACTTTTACACAGATCATCTCTTCATGGCAGCAACTGATATCACAGAGCATATGGGTTGGAAGAGCACCCAGCAACCAAGATCCAGTGCTCCTGCTCCCCATTCCCTCCCCACAAGGCTCACTGCTCTCACATGTAGAGCAGTGGCAGCCTTGGCTCAGCAGGCAGATTTGAGATGAACCAAGGCAACCCACCATGTTGGTACAGGTGGGGCTTAAGAGTTTCCTCTCTTGCTGTCTTCCAGGCAAAGTACCTCTCCTAACATCTTGGGGTGGTGTTTGTGTGTGTGTGTGTGTGTGTGTGTGTCCTGGGTCCAGTGTCTATGTCCCCAGAGAATGCCAGATGATACAAAGACTCATGACAGCTAGTTGAGACCTCTAGAACCTCCAGAAAGCATGGAGTTCCAAATTCCATGCCAGTCACTATTAATATAAGTAGAACCAAGACCAGGGAGTTCAATTCACACTGCAGGAAGTTCTCAGGATTCTGCTTGCCTGGTAGCAACCCCAGGAGGGGAGGAGGCAAGAGCAGAGGGAAACCAAAACAGGTGTGGCCACCCACCTGCCTCTGGTGAGCTCTAGTGAGTATCTGCAGGGGTAAGGCAAACAAACCCAAACTGTTCAAGGACACCTAGGTGCCAAACATGGGTCATTTGGTCTGGGGACAATGAGGTTCTATAACAGGGGCACTAATAATGTCAGGAGCAGAGTGACAGGGGAGGAAGCCAGTGTCCCCAGGGATTCCTTCTTGCTGAGACAGCTCTTCCCAAGCTCCCAAATTTGGAAAGCCCTTCTTTCTATATATCCTAAGCCCAAGAGTCCTGATTCCCCTCATCGTGCAATCTCTTGCTAGTGGAAGGCAGCTACCCGTCCCCATCTCTGCGCTTCTTCACCCACACCCCATTCTCTAGCTGCTCTAAAACAGGTGGGCCAGAGGTGGAAACCAGTCACAGGTGGCCTCTGATTCTCTTGCATCCTAGCTTCCCCCCCCCCCTCCTCTGACCAGCTCCAAGACAACTCTGGAGACTGGAGACCTCCAGGCTTCCTTAGGAAAGACTGGGGCAGAGTGCCAACCTGCCATCCTTTTAAGGCTTGAAGACCTCTCTCTGGAGCTCTGTTACAGAATCCAAGGCTGGATCTATAGGCAGAGCCCTTGAAGCCCAAGAGTGACTAGTCCCTTGGTTGAGGGGATAACAGCAAGCTGCCCTGCCTCAGCTCTGCTCCACAAAGGAGCTCTGCGGCACCGGCACCCGTGGGTCCCCCAGGAGGGATTGATTCAGGGCCTGAGCTCTATGTTGGAAATGAGCACCTGGCCAGTCTCCAGCCTTCCTTCAAACTTCAGTCCCTTCCCGGCTGTAGATGAGATGACCCACCCTAAAGCCAGTAGCCATTGTCTGATGACCAGCGGCAAAGCCATGTGCAGTATTAGGGATCTGGGAACTGTGGGAAGCCGCACTTGGTGGTCTTCGGAAAGGGAAGTCATGGACCAGGCCCTCAGGGAGGGTGCTTAAGCCACCTGTCAGGGCGCCCACTGTGGTGGAGAACCCTGAGAGGCAGGGGGCGGCCTCAGGCACAGGGGAGGAATGAGAAGTCTGTGTGTCTTGAGAAGGTGAGCCACGGGGGTCCAGTGTGGCTCCCTCTGGGTTGCTGGCTCCAGGAGTAGTGGCCACACTGGTCTCTCCTCTCCGCCTCCTCTTCCTTCTGAAGTTCCCATTATCGAACATCTTCTCACAGTTTGGGTCCAGCGTCCAGTAATTGCCTTTACCTGTGGAGGAGGGAGGTACAGAAAGTTCGGTGTTGACTCCATTGGCTCCATGGAGATGGTCCTGAACCCTCCTCGTCCCAAGCCTTGAGGTGGCACCTTGTGTCAGGAATGACCTCCCGCAGTCATATTGCAAGAAGTTGGGTGCTTCGCAAAGACCCAGACATAGCCCCTTGAGGGAATACCCAAGCGCATCAAGTTGGAGGCTGCAAAAATGGCCCAGGAGAATCTGGACTGTCTGGCTCAGCCAGTGGAGCAGAGCTGACCTCACCTGGCCTCTAGGCCAGGTTTTCCAGAGGCACAAAAACCTGCCTCCTCCCCATTGAACCCGCCCCAGGTTTTCTAAAGATAGACATTATTTATCCCATTTTACAGGGAGGTGTATCTAGGCCCAGAGATGTTAAACTCCCTAGGTAACCCAGTTGGCTAGCTTTCTAGGCTTCAAGCAGATGCGCTGAGCCTGGGGGCACTGGACTGGAAGTAAAGGCCTAAAACGTCTCCCCACCCCATTTCACCCAACCGAAGTTCTCTCATCTGTGCGGAGCATCAGTGGATCGCCCAGGGTAACTTCCACCCCAGCCACCCACCAGACGCTTGGATCACTGGGCATGGACTGCGCGCGCGCTGCTTGTTACCTGGGTCGTTTTCATCTCTGGGCACCTTCTTGAAGCAGTCATTGAGCGACAGGTTGTGACGGATGGAGTTCTGCCAGCCCGCCTTGCTGCGTTTGTAGAAGGGGAAGTTGCTGGCCACGTACTGGTAGATCTGGCTAAGGGTCAGCTTGCGCAGCGGCGCGCTCTGGATGGCCATGGCGATGAGCGCCGAGTAGGAGTAGGGTGGCCGTACTAGCCTCAGCAGCTCTTGCTGCCCCGACAGGCTCAGCCACGCGAGATCGGCGCCTGCCAGGCTACCTGCAGCGCCGAGCAACGAGCCCGGGGTGGCAAGGGCTGCTGCAGCATAAGATGGAGCTGGTCCCGGTCCCGCCGCCGCATAGGGCGCAGGGCTGAGGGAAGCCGAGTTCACCCACAGGCGCCGGCCAGAGCCCAGATCCCCGCGGCTGTAGCCCGTAGGATGGGCCACTGCCCGAGTCAGGCTGTGAGAGACCGAGCAGGAGCCCAGGCCGTCGCAGAAGCCAGCCATGTCCAGTTCTCCGGCCTGGGCCGGTGCCGGTGGCTCCGCACCGAAGCTCATGGGCGATCCATTCATTCAGTGAAGCTGCCCACACCCTCCTGCCCTAGGCCCTTTAAATGCTATAGGGGCGTGGGGAGCATTTGGGGAGAGTATCATATGTGGTGAATCTCCTCCCCTGCCAGACTTAGAGGAGTGAAGCCCTTGTCCCCGCCCTCGGGTCAGTTTTCCACCCGCCCTGCCCTGGGACACCTAGTTATGCAGTCCCTGTGACTGACTCCCAGGGTACCTAGGTCTCTTTGGGTTCAGTCATTGTTGGCTGGCAGTGGCCCCAGGGTTTTTCTCTGCTCTAGGCATTGGTCCTTTTGTGTGTCTAAGGCCTTAACTCAACCTTATCTCAATCCCGGAATTGAGAGCAATTGTCATGCGAATTAAGTTCCCAGCGAGGACCTTAGGTATGGTAGGGACAGGGCCTCGAGAAGAGGCGGGATATTGGAAAGTGAATTGCCTGGAGACCGGGGAGTGGGGAGGGGAGCAGCGGGCTGCTAGGCTTGGAAGCCACCGCATCCTTGTATGGATCTGTCTGTATGTTGCTGCCCTGGAAATCCTAGAAGCCTCCTGCCCAAGGAAGCTTGCCTTTCAGATGTTGGAGCTCACTTGACTTGTTTACCCTGTAGCCCAGGGCACCTAGCGCAACAGTGAAGGCCTCCCTGGGAATCACCCCTCTACTGAATAAACTAAAAATACGCCATCCCTCCTCCAGTCTTGATGCCTAAGAACACTGTAGGCTTTCCTAGCTGACAGGATTTGGGTTTTCCTGCCTGGTCTGGATCCTGGTTAACCAGCAGCACACTCAGTTTTCCAGATACTTTTGCCTTAGGCATCATGGGGGTTTGGAAAAATAAATAAATAAATAAATAAGGCCAAGGACTGTGCACAGAGTGGTACAGTTCCCGCTGCTGTGGTGTCTGGAAATTGTTCACTGAAGCCAATTGACTGAAGAGTCAAAATTTCTGGCCTAGGAGGAATAAGGGGGTGGGCTCTATCCTCCACCAAATTAATGTTTCCAGTGTTAGAGCGAATATGTTGAAATTGGGCTGACCCAGGGACTCTTCCTGATTACTATAGCAACTTAATATTACATTGGTTATAAAAAGGAAAGGTCCAAGTGGCCTTGGGTTTTGGCTAAGGAGGTACCTGCTAGTTGGGCCAGTGGTTTAATCCACTCTTGGAATGAAGGAAGTCTGTACCAGCAAATGGAAACCATGTAACACAACCAATTAATAAGGCAGTTTGACAGAGCATGGAGAAGTGAGACTCCATCTAGGGCAAATTTGACCTCAGCACTCTGTAGCCTTTAGGACGAATGAGGCTGTGTAACTAAGGTAGTGGTAAAAAGAGGCCTGGAATTGACTCATGGTGTGGGCTCTCTAGCCAGACTGTGGCCCTGTTTCCATTCCCCATTTCCCAGAGGGCTGGTGGGAGACAAGTAATCTCAGATACCACCAAAACTCCCATGTGTGCTTGCGCAGACAGACAGACAGACAGACACACACACACACACACACACACACACACATACACACACACACCTGCAGAGACAGGTTGAAGGGAGGTTCTCTGAATTTCCTCTCCCTGGCTTCCCAAGGCATTATCTGTTTAGTGCATTTCCCTAAACAGCAGCCAGTGCCACCAGCCTCTTGGCTGAGCCACTTCCAAGATGAGCTCAAATCATGAAAATGCTCTATGCGGCTTCTATGAGAGCCTAGGAATCACCTTTTGAGGGGAGTTTCTTTACAATGGAAACTGTGGTGATGTTCCCTACAATGTCAGCAAAGAGGCACCCATTTTCTTCCTGAACTTGTCACTGGTTTGGGACCTTTTCTCCACCTTTGGGAATCTTGCTGTAGTCAAGCAAGATTCTTCTAATAGCGTGAGTGGCACAAGATGGAGCTTCACAGAGCCTGCAACTCTGCTTCACCCGCATGATCTCTCAAAGAGTCCACTATGGAGTTGCAGCCAGCTGGTGTCTCATGTGAATTCACCTGCCCTTTCTACCCTTTCTCTTGCAAGATGTCTGGCAGGAACAAGGCTACTCTTTAAGGTGGTTTTGATGACCCATGGTGTTAAATGGAGAATACATTTGCTTCACAGAGGGAAATGTTATTTTATCTATAGATGGCTGTAATATTGTTTAAAAAGCTGTAGCCATCAAGACAATTTGCCACTGATGTAAAAAGACAGATAAATAGACTCAGTGGAGTGAAATGGAGAATTGAGTCCACCTGTGTACCTACAGCTATCTGACTTTGCACAAAGAGCCTAAAAGCATACATCAGAAGGAAAAGGCCACATTTCCAGCAAATGGTGCTAGGAATAATTCATATCCACATGCAGAAGGAAGCTTGACTCTCATTTCTCATCAGTTACAAGACTCAACTAAGAAGACAGAAATGTGAGACCTGGAACAATGAAACTAGAAGAAAACACAAAACACCCCAGGAAGGGTGTGTGTGTGTGTGTTTCCTTAAAACATAGTAAACAAAATCAAAGAAAGGCAATCAGGATTGTGTTTAACTGAAAAGCTTCTGGACAGTGATGTCATGAGCTACAGAACAGGAGAAAGTTTTTGTGAACTATATATCTGAAAGAGGATGATATCCAGACTAGACATGGAACTCCTAACTCAAGAGCAAGTAGCAATAACCCAGGCCCAAAACAGAAATCAACTCAAATGCCTAGACTCTTCCTTCAAAAGATAACATACAAATAGACAACAGGTATATGAAATGATGCCCGACATTACCAACCACCAGAATAATGCAAATCAAAGCACAATAAGATATCATCTAACTAAAGGAAGAACAGTTTTATCAGAAAGTAAAAAGATAACTAATGTGGTGAGGAAGTAGAGGAAAGGGGACTCTTGAATACTCTTGGTGAAAGTGTATATCAACACAGCCATTGTGGAAACAGTCTAGGGGGTCCTCAAAAAGTAAAAAAAAATAAATAAAACTTCTGTATCCTCCAGCCATCTTCCTGCTATGTGTTCAACAGAAGCTGTCAGGATGCTGAAGAAATATCACTACCCCCAAGTTTATTATGGCTTTATTCTCAATAGCCAAGAAATGAAAACAATGCAAGTGTCCAACCACAAGTAAGATGTGGTATGTATACACAGTGGGACCCTATAGAGGCATTAGAGAAGGAACTCAAGCTAGGAGGACAGGCAAAGAACTGGAGGTCATTAAGGTCAACAAAATGAGCTGAGCATGAAAAGACAAGTACCATGGATGTCACTCATGTAGAGGAGATAGAATTCTTAGCTTCACAGAAGTTGGGAGAAGAATGGGGATTAAGCAGAGGCAGGGAAACAAAATTACAGGTAGATAGGGGTAGAAAGTCTTAGGTGTTAGGACACAATAAGTAAGGTAATCATAGATAGAAGTTGTGTACCAGGAGTAAAAGGAGGGATTTTTCATCATCATCATCATCATCATCATAAACTATGACAAGTATTTGAGTAATTGCAGGTTAAGATGCATGTATCCATGTATTCAAACATCCCATGGTTCCCTGTAATATGTATAATTTGGTACCATTTTATGCATACATTAAAAATAAAATCAAAATCATTCTCCAGGAAACACACGCACACACACACACACACACACACACACACACACACAGTTCCCAGAATCAATTCAATAGTGAATTTTAAGAGTTCATTGAGCTATCTCTTGCAATGAAAATGAATTAAGATTGTCAAAATCTTTTCCAGGTTCTAATCATTGCAGTTTCTTTTTGTTGAGGCTTTAACTCATATATGTATGTATGTGTACATACATATGTAATTAAGTATATATAATTTAAATTTGAAACAAGCATGTTTTACATATCAATCCCAGTTCCTGAACCCTCCCATTCTCCCCTGTTCCCCCACCAACCCCCATCCCATCCCCTTTAGGCTTTAACTCTTAAACACTGTGGTCTCTAGGACCTCCAAGATCAAGTGAACCTTCTTGTAATTTTCCTGTACAAAAATCATGACAATTTGTGCCATATTTCTATCCCCCTTCTCTGAGTTCTGAGCCTGTCTTTACTGTAATAGCTTTCTGAGATTTCAACAGGCTGGACCCCAAAATGATTGTCAGTAGATGGAGTACAGTTATTTTGTGGAAAATGTTTTAAAACCTGAATCATCTCTGATGAAACTCTGATGAGAATTTTTTTGAAGAGAAAAATATGTCTAAGAGAGGACTCACAAGGCTGAGATCATGTCTGCTGGGTCGCTATGCAGAACAATAGCCCTGGGCCCTTTTCCAATCTCTGTCCTTTTTGAAGTGACACACTACCCACCTTGTGGACAGTCTTCCAGACATCCACCAGCAAATCAAGCCCACCCACAGCAGTGTTCGCACCTACGGCTGCACCTACACCTGCAGCTGCAACTGTACCTCCTCTTTCAGCAGGCTAGCCTCTCTTGTGGGCAAAGCTAGCATGTGACATAGACATTTGGGCATGGCTCCCAGGGACTTACCACAGTGCCCAGGCAAAACCCCTGCTCCCCAGCTGCATTTTTTTTATGTGACTTTTGTTCACACGCAGACTTCTTAGTCATTAGGGATTCAGCTGGAGGAACTAAATCATTGGAGGAATGTCCTTTGGGGAGGGGTGCCTTGCTCTGTCTTCACTATTTCTGTCCACCAGGAGATGAATAGGCTCTTCCTCCCCACACTCCTGCCACTATTATGCATAACATTTTGCCTAAACTACTGGTGGGACCAAGCAAAAATAGATTGATCCCTCTGACACTCTAAATTAAGATAAGTCTTTCCTGTAGGTATTGATGATAATACAAAAGTAAATTAAAAATTTAGCTTTCCATACATATTGAGCTCTCATTCAAACATGCTTCTATCTATCTACCTACCTCTCTGTCTGTCTGTCTGTCTGTCTATCTATATCTATCTATCTATCTATCTATCTATCATCTCTCCACATATCTGTCATATGTCAAACTTTTTATCTATCATCTGTTACTGCTATGATAAAATGTCATAACCC